GCAGTATATACATGCAGATATGAACATGTGTATGAGATGCAACATCATTGGATTGCAGAGAGGTGGATCTAATGAGGAAGAGAAATAATGAACGGCTCATGTGAAACAACATGGAAAACAGGAGAAGGCAGATGAAGGAGCGGAATACATAAGACATGAGCAAATTAAGACTTCAATACAAGGTAGAAGTATTTTGCTTATATCTGTACATCTAGTTGTCAACAAATAGTTCCGTTACCAAATTCTCTTGTGTTCTGCAGTGACAATATCATTATAAGGTTGCAGAAAGCATCTGTCAGAGAGTGTTCAACGCGATTCTTTACAGACAGCTTATTTACTAGCTAACTGCACATGCTGCTTCATTGTATTGTCTGAATGCTCAGGAATCGTTTATTATTCAATCTTCTTTCATATAGCTTGGTATCTACGAGGAGTTTAAGTCAATCAGCCTCACTTCTGTTTCCAAATACACAGGTGAACAAAGAAAGAGAGTAAGGCTAGAATTGGCTCACAGAGATAGAATGTGATTCCACATTACACGATTTTGTTTTTAATGTAACACAGTGTAGTAAAAGCAGACAACAATTATATTGATGATAATGGTAGCATATATAGAGGTAACAACAGCATGGGCTATTAATTGTAGAAATGAGTAGATGAGCTAACTAGATACATATGTGCACACATGATTCTAAAATACTCCATCTAACAACCATCATCTACACACATATTAGTGACAATCCCGCTCGATTTCATATTGTTCGGTTAAATCATTTTGACACTCACGTAATTTGGAGCATTATGCGAACAGGAAGAAATTTCGACCGGACTCGCCTCACGAATACAGACAGAAAGAACAGGAAGACACCGAGTGAACTGAAATCAATTTACAAAGATGGAATATTTATCTGAATAAGTATAGAGATAGTCGAAATGATTTATCACGTGATTAAAGTCACCAGGTAATATTTTGAAATCTTCATTTTTCAATAATAATGACTTCAGATCTGACTGTGTTCGTGTATTAAATCCAATCCTCTCATTTGAAGCTGATTACATAGATGGAATGCACTGCATTTGCACTCCAATTCATAAGTCTAATTCTTGGCATAGCGATTGGTATAGCATTGTAGTTTGATCTCAGTAACTGACTGCAGCTACACTATTGAAGGATTATATTCGAAGTAGAATACATCAAGTTAGTGATGTACTATGGAGAGATAGAAATGGAGTGGTAATACGCTCACCACTGCGTCACCTACTTTCAGGCTGCTCCATACCCAGTCTACAAAACTACAGATTACTACCCATTATTGTGAATTTACAAATATGAAAAATTTGCATGGACGATACTTCTACAAGATGTGACAAAATCACTGACATACATATCATAATTAAGGCGAATGAAGATTTCATTCCTACGACCAATTTTCCAATCACATTCCTTCATTGTTTTCTTTAAAACAGGATTGTCTGGATCTCTACAGAGAGAGTTATAATGAATTCCAGCGAGTCAGGCGCATCTTGCTAGAAACACATGTGATATCATCAAATAGTACAACAGGTGTCATCTTTCAGCATTATGTGGATGGCGCTAGCGATTCGACAAAAATTCGAACAGTATGAGAAGCTGTAGATTGTTCAGTCTAATATTCTACCAAGATTATAAATTCTTTTCAGTTTCTAGCAGTTAGTTAACTATCATCACTCTTAAATTTCCCTTCTGCAAATTTCGCTATCATCCGTCTTCTTATTTTATGGCCTGCATACCGATCAAGTATACACCCAACCACCTTGATTGATTCTCATCTAAGAATAATGAACACATTTTCCAAGTTGTATTCTCAATGTGGAATGAATTATATTGGTGTTCATGCCCACAGTTTCCGCAGTTTCAAGCATTCAAGTAGGAAATCTGTACAAATAATCAGCACTAAATACGGTTCTCTGACGATTGTTGTTTCAGTCACGAAACAAATGCAAAAGCAAAACAAATTGAACATCAGAATATCGGAAGAAGAATTCAAAAGTCTAAGCGTATTGCTTCCTTATGACATGAGCTGAAAATACACACACTGATGTTCTGTCCTTTACATTTCAGTAGTCTTTGCAGTTAAGTTGAAATGTACGCTGAGACGTTATAATCTCCTGTATTATCAGTGAATTTTAGTTGTCATGGTGTACAGACACTTATTCAATGATCAATAGGTGACACTGAATAAAGAACTCACAAAATGATATACTCCAAATAGATATGTTCCATGAAAAATTCAGATAGTTCGTCCCTGTAAATCAAAGTAATGTTTCAACATTTACTTTATTGAATTCTACTTTCTCATAAACACAGCGATGATCACAGCTTTCGTCACCACCATCACCACTAACTGGATTATGAACTAAGATTTTAAAAACAAAGTCTTTTTAACAAACCACGATATTCCTACCCATGGATAACTGAAGGCACTCACTGATTGCTTCTCCTCACTCAGGTATGTTGAAGGCGTAAAAGATGAGTCAAAGTGTACCATTTTCTGGTGTCCTAGAAATATTTCTAAATAGAGAAGAAATCTGAAGATGTATATCCGATCAAAATCAATTGATCATGTTAGAATAAAGATTACGAATACGATGCGAGCATGAGGCTGCGTGGATTATTTCCCTCCGATATTATTAGCATCAGTGTGAAACGAATCGGCTTGTCGGATTTGAGAAGAATGAAATTATACGAAACTATTTATCACAACTAGCTACTTCGTTTGTGCGTTTGTGAGTTCCATAAAACAGAAATCGTTCATTATTTGGAAGGATGAACTTCAATAAATTAGGAAACCTGAATAGAATCTAATTCGATATGTGAAAAGATATTTGAGAAGTAACACAATTAAATTCGTTTTCTATAAGTATACATTTCGACATATTTGGTCATACATGCATCAATAATGAATAAAGTCATAAATATGACTCTTGTCTACCAGAATGGAGATCTTCGATGTCAACACTGGCTTCATCCATGAGACATCAATGAATTCTGAATTTAAGGGACTATGATTTATATTTTCTATAGTTTGGTTTGTAAGGATTAGTTATGTTTTACGAGTTGATCACGGACTGATATCAGTTAGAAAACCATTGAAAACCAGGGAGTACTGGACAGCTGCTGTTTCATCCTAGTTTGGGAACCATCGGCGGTACGCACCCACTGGAATCCGAACCCAGGACCTTCCGGTTACAAGGCAAGCTCGTATACCATTCAGCCACTGGAACCCGATTCAGTGACTCATGAATTCTAACTTCTACCAATTCGTGATTTAGCGCGACCCTCTAACTGATATCAGTCCGTTATCAACTCGTAAAAGATAACTAATCCTTACAAATCAAACTATGGAAAATTAATCTGATACTCGCTAGTGACTTGCTACAGGATGAAGCTTCCTGGAGTTCTAGTGAGAAGTCATGACCAGTGAGGTCCAATTAGATATCACGTGTGTGGATGGATGTCCCATCAACGACAATGGTTGGGGTCGCGCTAAATCACGAATTGGTAGAAGTTAGAATTCATGAGCCATTGAATCGGGTTCCAGTGGCTGAATGGTATACGAGCTTGCCTTGTAACCGGAAGGTCCTGGGTTCGAATCCCAGTGGGTGCGTACTGACGATGATTCCCAAACTAGGACGAAACAGCAGCTGTCCAGTACTCCCTGGTTTTCAATGGTTCTCTAACTGATATCAGTCCGTGATCAACTTGTAAAGTATTATTTATATCCTTTGTAACCAAAGGCGGACAATAATAATAATAACAATGTAATAAACTGCATGATTTCAATGCAAACCTCACTGACATCTTGATTAAGCATATTCATTAAACCATGATGAGATTTAAAGGCAAATAGGTAACAAGAATCAGCAATCATCCCTTAAGAATCAATTGAATCACCCATAATTAACAATAATGATTAAGCTGAAATTCACGTACGTTGAGAATCACCTCAATTATTCTTTATGCCATTGAAAACATTCATGTTTTCTGTTGATATATATATTGTGACTTTTATGACGATAATCGATATGGTAATATGTGTTGATTGGTCCGAGTTCATTCTGTTATCACATCTCATATGAAAATAGGCGTTTGTCACAATAGTCGAATAAAGTGTGTTGGTTTCAATGTCTTCATACACATGAACCTACAATGTCGATATGCGACTCAAAATAAAAGTAAGCGAAGTAATTATCAACGATTTTTTACAGACTGAATTTACTATTGAGGGTGCAAAGGTCTTTTGTCGAATGATAATGGTTATTTCAGTTTGAACAAATCGTTAGATTTTCTCATTGATTCTGCTATCTTGATGAGAATGAAGTGTGAAGTGGAATCAACCCTCCATTATAAGACGAATTCATAGTTCTCATAAGACAGTTAGTGAATGCATATATCCTAGAGAATCGAATATATGAATGAACATTCAACGTGAACTTATTTCCCACACATTTTAACGAATATACACTTCTACTGGCAATCCCTTCGAAATGACTTTCGAGGGATGGAAATAAATTCTCTTTCTCATGTAATCAAAGAATCAATAATGAGTAGAACGAATATTCGTGTTAAACAACAATTACATTAAGAGTTACTGACTAGACTCCGGACAATTTGGCATATAATCCCGGATATGAGAACAGCTAACTGGGACTCCAGGTATCCTATAGTGTTTGCCTACATTCTTGTTATGCCACTAACTGTTTGATCTATGTGTAAAATCAATGGAGAAGATTGCTATGTTGTCACAAATTCGTTTTGATTAAGAATAATATGAATATTTCATGCAGGGTACCTGCAGTGTAAACTGTTCGATGAAGATGTGAGCACTTTTCACAAACTGCTTACACCATATCAGTTCTCATGCTCAAAATATGTGGATCCTGCTGTAGGAGTTTCTGTCTCACTGTTTCTACAGACAAACACTGACCGACGAACAAGCCACTATCACAGTTCTAACATACACTGAAATAACAGTGGAAAACATGTCGAACAAACAAACAAACGACTTTAATTTAATTCATTTTTCGCTTCTAATTTTATATTGAATCAATTGACACACTGCAGAAAATCAAAGGATCATTCAGTGTTCAGAATGAAGAGAATAGATTTTAAATTGGTCATTAATAGAAGTACAGTGAATAAAATTGCTTGTTTAACATTTTTGAATGTGAAGAATAGAAATTGGAAATGTTTGCATTATTGTTTCTCTTTATTGGCACTCCATGATGGAAAGCAGATTAATATTTGCGTGAACAAACATATCATCGAACACCAGACGATAAATGCTAGGAACGTTGATGAGCATTGAGGTGACAGACGCTCCAGAATTAATTGTCGTTTATTGACAAAGATGAACATCATCTGTAAAGTGAATAGACAGAACACATTTTTACATTGAAAAGAATATCTTTGATTTATGTGAGTATGCTAAAAATTTACAAAATGTTAGATTGTATTCTGATACTGGTTATCTTTCAAAGTATGAACAATTCGCATTTCATCCCATCAAGAACATATGAGGCGGCAACAAAGAGATTCCCTCATTTCGCAATTTCACTTCAAAGCTTCACACCTATTTACAGTATCTATACATGCAATGTAGATCAGCGACAGGGGTAAGACGAAATTACCAATTTGTAATAAGCTAAATCAACTGGATTGGTAATAATATCATCTAGACGCACCCATGAACACATGCCAACATGGTTGTCACAAGAACAACGTAGAACAGTCAACAGCTCAATACTAGAGCGTATGATAACCTCTGATTACACACCATCGGCACAGACTTCATTCGAAAACATATACAATGCCAGACCGAGCCACTCAAAAGGATTTCGCCTACAAATTCTTCAGGCAGCTAGCGCCTTAGCAATCCTTCAAGAAAAACCTGAACTTTGTGTTCAGAAACGTTTCATCCATCCTCTTTTATAAATATGGCCTTCACTGTCTTCCTGAAAACCTAACTGTATAATAGGCTCAATGTAGTCTGCTTTGAGGTTTTCGAATCACATATTCAGTCTTTTGTTCCCATTTCTCATATCAACTATTTTCAAACGACTATTCATAACCTAACCAATGAGTTGTCACCCCTTTTGATTATATCACACTATTCCTACTTTTTCAAAAATAGTTATTATTTATCTATTTTGATTTTCTTTGTTTGTAAGTGACAATATATTTTCCCCTCTGTTGTCAGTCCATACTGATTTTCGATAAAGAAAAGGAAGACGAAATTTGCAGTATAAAATGATATCATTCTATTTCACAGGTTTTCATCAGCTGTGAAATAGAATGATATTATTTTATACTGCAAATTTCGTCTTCCTTTCTTTATCGAAATTTATCAAGGGAACCAGTTGTATGAAGTTCTTGAAAAAACATGCTGATTTTGATGTGAGAGTAAGTTCAACTTTTGAACTGTGTGAAATATATTTGTGATGGAATCGGAGATGAATATAGACCAGATGAAAAAACTTCCTAATACAAGTTACTATTTCACAGACATCATGAGGGTCATTTATGATATACGCATGTGCAGCGCCGAGATAACAATGGCATTCAATGCGCTGATGAAATCAACAACTTACAATGAGTACAAACAGGCAGGACAGTACTCCTTGTACAGTGAACAGCTCCTAAATACAAAGCAAAAGAGTAAAGAATTAGTTTATTGATAAGTTTTGGAAATCATGCTTCATTTTTCTGTGCACAAAACTATATTGACACATCTAGTGATACATGGATAGCAGTGTTAATCACAAAATATTCTCAAAGATTTGTTCATGCAATGATTACGATGTATGCGGTCTGTGAAATGAATAACTTATATTTGGAAGTAGATCAGTCACTGTGTCATGTTGAACCAAGTGGACGGAATATATTATCGTGATAGACAGTAAACGACATGAATGTAGATGATTGTACGTCATGTAAAATAACCATCCATCACTTCAATGTTTTACCACAAAGAAACTCTTGTCAAGTTAGATTATGACAATATTTGTGATAGTCATCACAGAATTAATTGAACGTTATAATTATGTCGGGTAACATAGTAACCCTGTCAAACTGATCATCGTTCAGTGATGTTGAATCTAGACCAAGTTTCATCCTACGCTATAATTACTCTGAAGACACCTTTCATTTCTTCATAATTAACAATAATATTATCAAATAAAATTACATATTTTTTGTCAGTGAACGCCGCAGCTGCCTCAGCGAATACCAAACACATAACAAAAAGTGTTGTCGTCAGCAAAACAAACAATCCTTTTTCACTCAATGGTGGCAGCTTTAAAGCCAACATAACCGTGATGACCGATAGCAAAATTGTCACACCCAGTGACACTAATCCAGGAATCAAAATCATGGGCCCCAAAAAGGCAGAGAAGCACACAGACCACATTGTAACCTGTAACAAAATGGAAGCAGAAATAACAGTAATGTTTAATTAATTGAAGTCTGATAAATGACTCTTCACTACTGCTTAGAAATCCATACAAGAATGAAAGCCAGCTGGAGTATTCGCCTAAATATTCATAATTCTGTATAAATCACCCGATGCTGTGGTATGTTTACAGCAGATCAGCAAGATTACTCGGGGTAAGTCAGAAAGAAAATATCACATCATCTTATCACCGTATGGTCTAACAGGCAACCCTGACGCTTTTGTAATGGATCCAAAGAAAGTGAAATAGCAGCAGCCATTTCAGATGAAATCATCGCCCATTGAGTGGCACTCTAGTCTGGAAGATAGGATGGGCCAGCAGTGTAAATATTTACTTTCGCATCTTAATTTATCGTGTGGGTAGACTTGAAATAGTGAAGAGGAAAATGAGTGCAGCAAACTGTACAGAAGTTTAATTGAGTGTGCATTCCAGTGATTTTAATTTTACAGTTGCTGCTCGAGGAATAAAGCAAATATGTATCATAGTAATTTCCATGCTTGGTTAGTTATCCTGACTACGTCCATCTTCTAAAGGAGTTTATGTTTTATGTTATTCAGCGACTGCCTTAGTTGTCAAAATGAATGTATCGAATTGAAAACGTAAAATTGATATACAACAGAATTGCAGTTGCAGAGAACTGTAACTTCACTTTAATTGATTTTGAATATGCTCACAAATCCTATTCATTTCTACACCCTTTAATTTCATTGTACATATATAGATCCCCTCAACAGTTGACGCGTCAACAAGACATATAATACAACATTCACAATGTGTAACAGAAACACGACTGATAAGTTTGTGGAAGTATTTGGTCAAATCTTCATCCGAAAAAATGCAATTTTGTTTATTTTATGACCGTTTGTAACTCAAACATAATTTGACATTAGTTGTTATAAAGTGTTATGATTGTCTGTTTCAAAATCACTGGGATTTATATGAAAATAATTTTCACGTATGTCTTCTTTTCACCCTGTCTACAATTTCTGTGGAAGTATTCCGTGAAATGTCGATCAGCGTTCATAAATTCTGTTTGAATAATGCGTGTGTTATAACATCTCCTAGTATATATCCACCAACATGAATAATAGCTTACTTAGCTTTACAGAAGCGATTGTTATCAAAAGACTTTAGTCCAACCTATGGATACAGCAGAGAGAGGTAGTGTGACTAATCTCTCACTTCCCTGCCTGGTAACTGAAATTGTTTTGATCTATTGCGCACCATTCCACTCAATCTTGATTTTCTTTTTTACTCATTGAGGTGAACTCACTATTCGGGTTTACTATTCACTGTCACCATCCTAAACTCTAAACCATGATATGTATCTATTAATTTTGTTCTTCTATCCTGTATTTTATCTTTAGTTCATTCCAGTTAAACACACATATTTGAATTCCACATCCGTTGTCTAATCACTACATAAATAGTTACTCTCTAACATTGAATGATTGTCTACATACATCACCCGTGAAATTAAGCTGCCTATACTCTCTCTTCCTGTGTATAACGTGAAATCATTGTAGAAAATAAGTTCAGAAATTCCGTAAAATTAATGATTTGATTTATTTAGAATGTACGCAGTACAATAGAATCCGCGAAATAAAACGACGTCTCACTATCCTGCAAATTGGTTGGTTATTTCTTAATTCGGAATAACAATATCGTGTTGTGAATCAAATGGGCGATTAATTGAATGCATTTATGGTGACTGTGGACGACTACAAAACATCACAGTTACGCTTCTTTGGTTCTATTCACAAAATGGTGTAAACTCTTACGGAACCATGGCAGATAAAAATAAAATGATACTCACTGTTAATCCAAGCAGTATGCTAACAATGAGACAGTGCATTTGAAGCTTCTTCACGGAAAGAAAGAGAAGTAGTGGGATGAAACCACCTAGCCTAAAATGAATTCACAAATGTCGAACAGCAATCTCAATAACTACACACTTGATCAAAAATATTCATTATCAAATTACCTCATATCAAGCGGTAGTTGTCAAATAATCAATATTTGTTGAGCAGACACAAGACCACAAAGATAGACAAATAAAAATAATACGATAATCTTAAACGCATGGATTTAGTTGGAATAATACAAAAAATAGAGTGTAGGTCTCTATTTCCACACCCACGTTTATTGTCTCCAGTGGATTCATAAATACAATTGCACAAATTCAGTAGAACTTCACTCAAATATTCTTTCTCTCTACCCGGCCGATAACTGCTACCTTGCCGTGGTGGTCGGGCTTGAATGCCGCAGTGACCCAACAAGCTAAACTGGCTGGGACTCATGTCCCTGCAGGTCCTACCATGCCAGGAAGGTTGTTTGGATAGCGGTTAGACCAAAAACAGTTACCATGGGGTACATGGGCCCCAGAATCCAATCGGACCAAATGGCGTACGAACCTATATGGGTCACCGGCAACCATGGGAACGCAGCACCTGACGCTGCTCCGCTGCCTTGTGGATTAGACTCCAAGTCAAAGGCTCGGGGGTTGGTCCCTTAAGAAAACCACCTGCTTCGGTCTGGGCGCCCGGGCAGTATCTCAGCCCTCACACAATAAATGAAATGAAGCGACAAACTATTATTGAAACTCACCGCGTGCTCGTAAAAATGATTCCAAGAAATAATGATACATCAATCAACTTATGCCCTTCCAACCCTAATTTTATTTTCAAACTTAGTTTCCTGTATTTTAACTTTGCTCACCTTAACTTATTAACCTTCGACAACCTTTCGCCTTTGTTTGGATTCCTAGCCTATCTGTGTTGTTTCGAGATGTTAGTGAGTAACCCTCAAAATGGATGTCTTCAATGTGACACCTAACACAGATATCCTGAAACCGCGTGCCGCTTTCAAGCTGGCCACCAACAATGTTCGAACGCTGATGCAAATCGGACAACAGGCAGGGTTGGTAAGAACGTTGGAAAGCCTCGCTATCGATGTCTGCTGCATTTCGGAGACTCGCATTCAAGATCCCAGTGAAGTGCTTCGATTATCCTCTCCATCTGGAGGTTCTAGTAGTAGGTACCACCTGCGCTTGTCCGGGGACCCTGTGGCGTCGGCATCCGGCGTAGCTGGTGTCGGCGTCGCACTGAGCGCTAGAGCCGAAGCTGCACTGCTCGACTGGATTCCCATTAACAGTCGTTTATGTGCTGTGAGGCTTAGCGATCTCTTGAGACAGGCGGGTTGGAGGGATATCGTAGTGCTGGCTTGGGACTTGAATGCACGGGTCGAGCGTCTGAGCTCAGAGGAGAATCGTCTAGGTGGTCAATGGGGACTACATGGTCGCAGGTCAGATAATGGGGACCGTCTTCTGCAGCTTTGCGCGGATCGCAACCTATTTCTGGCCAGCACCAACTTCCGGCACAACCATCGCCGTAGCGCTACCTGGCGTCTTCCCTCTGCGAACCAAGCTTGGACTCAGATCGATCACATTGCTGTCACTTTCCGGTGGCGAGGATGCATACAAGACTGTCGCTGCTTCTGGAGCACATGCCTGGACTCCGATCATGCGTGAGTGTGTGCCAAGTTCGTCTTGAGATTTGGTGGGGTTCATAAAAGGTGTCGTCTAAACGTTGATGTTAGCAAACTAGTAGCACCTGCTACTTGTTTGAAATATCAGAATGAGTTACAATCAATGCTTGTCAGCAACCCCCAAAGTAGTATAAGTGAACATTGGCTCCATCTGCAAGGTGCCATGCAAAGAGCTAGTGTAGCCGCTTGCGGCTTGAAAGAATGCTCCGCCAAAAACCACTGGATTTCTGCGAGTTCCTTGCAGCTCCTGGATGAACGCCGGTCCATTCCGGCTGGCAGCGAATACAGCAATAAGCGAAAGGCGCCGGCGCGCAAGATAAGAAAGTGTTTACGTAAGGACCGAGAAGCCTGGTGGTCAGAACGTGCAGGTGAGATGGAGGCAGCTGCTGCATCTGGCAACAGTCGGAAGCTGTTCCAACTCATCCGAGCCACCGGCAGCAAGAAACAAGGTGTCAGCGAGACGGTCTGTGAGGCAGATGGCACGCCAATTACCAGTTTGAAAAGACGCCTGGAACGCTGGGCAGAGCACTTCGGGAAACAGTTTAGCTGGCCACCAGCTTCAATGTCTGCTGTCATTAGCCCCAGTGCTCCTTGGTCGGTTAATACCGACCCACCCACCGAAGCGGAGGTCCGTAAGGAACTCCAAGTGTTAAAACGCCATAAGGCGCCCGGCCCAGACAATTTACCCCCGGCTCTTTTTAAAGATGATGGCGAGACTCTCACAATGGCTCTAACTGGCTTGTTCAGGAAGGTATGGGAAACTGAGAGTGTACCATCAATGTGGAACGAAGCCATCATCGTCCCTGTCTTTAAAAAGGGTCGACGTAATTCGTGTGACAATCATAGGGGTATCAGTCTGCTACCAGTCGCGTCTAAATTATTGGCTTCTGTCTTGCTTCGCAGGCTGTGCAAAATACGTGAAGGATTGACTCGCGAAGAGCAGGCTGGGTTTCGTTCAGGTCGTTGATGCATTGATCATGTGTTCACCCTTCGTCAGTTGTTGGAACACCACCACACGTATTGCAGGCCAACGATCGTTGTGTTTCTTGATATTAGGGCTGCCTTCGATTTGTTGGACAGAACTGTGCTCTGGAACTGTCTGTTAGAGAGAGGTGTACCTGAGAAATTTGTTAACATATTGAAAGCCCTATACAGAAACACCTCAGGTAGAGTGAGGGCATACAACCAACTATCATCACTGTTCCCAACCAACAGTGGGGTTAGACAGGGTTGCCCAATCTCTCCATTTCTCTTTAACTTTGCCATCGATGACATTCTGGAGTCAGCTCTGAAAGATGTGTGTGAAGGTGGTGTAGATCTGCTACCTGGAGATAGACTTTTCGACCTCGAGTATGCAGACGATGGGGCATCATCGCGTGAGTAATTCTGAGGTTTGGCGGCGTGTGTTTGAACACAGTGGAGATCACCATTCATTGAGTGTCGTCATCTGGAAACACCAGCTCCGGTGGCTTGGACATGTGCTGCGAATATCATCCCAGAGGCTTCCGTACAAGTCTCTGTTCGCTAGCCCTGGGACGGGATGGAAAAGGCGGAGGGGTGGTCAGTCCGTGACGTGGCGTCGTGGGATGAAGGATATTTGTGCTAGATTAGCGTCGGTTGGTGTGTCACGACTCCCTGGTTGGGGTCCGCGAGATAGCTCGAATCGATGGCTCGAAACGTTATCGGATATGGCCAAGAATCGTAATCAGTGGCGAACGTGTTGCAATTTCCTTCTTTCTTCCCTTCCTGATGATAGTTAACGAATACTGTTTGAACTTGTTAAACATGACTGTTTTCCTTCCTGATGAAGTTCTTTATTCGTTTTCTACCTATATTTTAATCTATGTTGTTTTATTATTATTGTGTGGTGCATCTTTCTTGGTGCCATATTGTACCACGTTTTTCAGGGTATAAATAAAATAAATCTTTCTCTCTATGTCTAAATTCTTGGTGTTGTTAACATCGTCCTGGTATTCTTCATCCTTGCAATACACTGGATGTACCAATTTCCCCATCTCTTGCGTATTCCAATTACTTGAAATACATTGTCTCCGTCAGATATCAGCGTGATGGGTGAAGATCCACATAGCTACTGTGTAAACTGTTTTGTAGCACAGTTATTCTTGTCTCATCCAGTTTCGTGGAATTGTCTTTATACATGCACTGCAGTGACTAGGTAACTTCTGACGAAATTCTTCCAATGCATATATATCATTGTACACCTAGCTCAATTCCCGCGTGCTGAATTAACTGGTATGATATGATATCCTACTGCTAAGGACACTGAGGTTCACTGTACAGAGGTAGTTGTTTATTCTGAGTATGTCATCGAAATTTCTATGCCCACTGACTATATCATCTTTAATCTCATCCAAATCTTCGTAGAATCAAACACACACACACGATTTCGAATACTCACTTTCCATATGATATCAGTTTTGACATCTTCATTTCTCTATCACTTTCATTGAATTTGCTATTTTCAAAATAACGTCTTCCTTTCCAATGAGTACGCATGAATCACTACATGGTTTCAGAGTGATAGTTATATAATATTGAACTATTTTAGTTTTTGATACTCCCAATCGAACGTTGAGTGCAGAAATTAACAATCTCCACTAGTTTTCCCATCTATTTGACCTTATCTGTGTCTTCTCATATTCTGTGAGATGATCTTGATTGTGAGAATCTATTCGAACACAACAAACCTCACTGACACCATTCTGTATTCATCCTTCATGCTTTTGCTTTATTTGTGAATCCATCATGAAAAATCATTCCCTTTTATTCTTCTCAGTCATAAGCTGATTTGGTTTCATGTATTATAGAACTCAGCAGTGAGAAGCAACTGAGACATCATGAATTCAAATGAAGTCTAATTGTCCTGCAGCTATCTCTATCATCAAATTGAGGGTAATGAAATGTGAATAAATGCAGGTTGTTATGATATAAAAAGAAAATATTCGGAGGGCTTCGTCGTGTAACGCTAGAAGACGAAGGACTTGGTTAAGGAATGTTTATTTGCAATTTGATGTCTCCATCTAGCCAAGTAATCTACACCTTATCTTCAAATCACAATTTGCACAGATCTTCCATGTTGTGCTACTTCTCGCCCTCATTCATTCTGTGTTTCTTCGAGTTCCTTTCACGTCTCTCATGTATCTCCGCAACACTGGATCGTTTGCTTTCTCTGGCATCAAATCTGTCTACCTGCTATCTGATGTTTAATGTCGTTGAACATTTCTTGTGTGTATATATATGCATATATACTACTGAAAAATCGGGTCAGTAGCACACGCACCAATCAGACTGTTTGCTGAATTTATTCCAGGGTAACGTGAAATGATTTTGAACAATACGCAAGAGCTCACATTATGGTCAGTGAATAAATAAGGCAATATCCCTGTGTTCTGTGTCAAATATATTCTTCCCATTCTACAGTATGTCACATTACTGACTCCAAAGTTCTTCAGGTAGTGCAGGAATGCGCGTAAATTCCATGCAACATTTTAGTTAATTGTCATTTCCAATGAAATACATTTGCATATGTAGACATAAAATGCTGAATCATGTTAAATAATAAACTTACAAAATAAGATATTTCACGTAAGCAGGGTCCACGAGGAACTTGCGAATTTCTCCCCTACAAGACAATTGCAAGTTAACTTTAATTTAAGCTTACATTATGCTCAACAAAATGACGATTGCAACTGTTATCAACACCATCCATGTGGTGTCGGCGACGAACTAACAGTGAAAATCAGTTGAAGAAAGCATAATTTTCTCACCCAAATAACTTGTTTCACAGAGAATGGTTGTCCTCCCAGATGTACGCGTTTCAAATTCTTGTCAGATGTATAATTAAGTGCCATAATCGTATCAGCTGCATTTGTTTTCATATTTGTTCTGAGAAATGAAGTTAATAACAAAATTGAGAAAATGTAATGACATTAGCGAAAACATGATAGATTTAGTACAATATATATTCTTGCTTGAACTGACTTTCACATTACGTGATGAATTATTCAAAATCAATCAGAAAATGGCTTTTTGTGAAGATGATGAAATGTAATACCTAATGAAATTTTGAGATTAACGGTTACCTCTGACGCGTCAGTAGTTCAGTGGTAGAACGCTCGTCATCCGTGTACATGGTCTAGGGCTCGATTCTCGGCCGACCACTCCTAAACCTCTCTAAGCAAATTGCACTGCCGGTATAAAAGGAAGTTTGGGCGAGAGACCAACAGCTCCAACTCATAAGAACAAAACCACTGACACTGAATCTTCAGGGATAACTGAACAGCTTAATTCGATTCAGTATCTTCAGTAACCAACTCAGTCACTTCCGATTATATATCAAATAATGATAACGAGGAATCCAAATCTTTATGCCCCCATTCCACCAACTTAGCTTCATCTTAACTGTCAGAAGTGGTGAATCGCTATCAAACCATAATTTTGCAAATTAAATAAAGTTTCAATTCATGTCAGTCGAGGTTACAGTGAGGCCTGAAAAATATACAGCCAACAAACCGCATTACTCCTACACGAATTGACCATCAAAAGGAATAAGCGCATCATTTTTGGCTGACGCAACTTAAATGAGACTGTAATTTCACTCAAAAAAAAAACAGTAAACTCATGTCGGCCTTGTATGTTTATTAAACCACATCAATTGAGCAGTATCAATTCAACTACAGATTGCACATATGAGTTTGTTAGATCAAGGATTACGAAACCAAGACTGGTGTTCAATATTCTGCAATCGACGTGAAAATCCACAGAACTCGTCATAAGTCATGCTATCCGAATGTTTCACACTAATGTGCTTTCATCGCTTCCATATATTTCAGACACCTTATGTCTACCAATGAAATCATTTCCAACAGACTGTCTACTTTCACTGATAGCTGCCTCCGTTAGATACTGAAGATCAATTGGGTTGGCACAAAGCATGAACAACGAGAGACGCTGAAAGAGAGTGCATCATTGAGAAACTTATCACCGGAGAAATATGCAGAAGAAGGTGTAGATAAGTTGGACATAACCTGAGAAGACCACCAAGTGACGTCAGAAAACTAGCAGGCCTTCTAGTGGGAAACCAAAGAAAAGTGATTGGTTCTGGTGCCAGGACAAAATGGAGGAGACTGTGAAGATGAAACCTGCTAGGGAGTGGCGAAACTAGCCTAATGGGATAACAGAGAAACAGATGCAATGTAGGTGAACCGCAGAATCCATTAGTTCCACTAAGAATGCGTGGAATAAATAATACTAATAATAGTAATGACGATAAATCAGGTTTAGGAAAACCTCAATAAAATCTATACTCCTCTTCTTATTATGAAAATCGATAGACACTCCACAATCAATCAGAAATTAGACATACCGAGGAAAATAAATAATCAGTTAATTAAACCTTCAAAACGTAGCTCCTCTCTTGTAATCTCTCAGGTGGAATATGATCGCGTATTTGTGCATATATATTCATCAAATTTGTCGATAATTATCATTACCTTATTGATTGTTCATAATGCCTTACCTTTCTCAATGTGTTATCGCATCACGCACAAAGTGGTTTCAGTCATAATCATCCAGTCATGTGCGTTGTATGCCGCTAAAAAAGTTAGTGTAGCACTAACACACACAAACAAAATCTGTTGACGAGTGTAGTTATGAGCTAGTTCTTTCAAATCGAAAGTACCATTCAAAGTGCAAAGGTTTCACATCGAAATTCAAGGACGAAGTCACCTAACAAACAGACATCGAGAGTAATTAAAATAGATGAAACATAGAAAAGAATACATGAATTATGAAAACTGAAACAAAATAGTATGATGTGCTATATACTACTGAGTGATGGATTCAAGTAGGTGTCAACCATTCATGTTGAATGGAAGTTGCTGCCGTCCAGCTATAACCTGAAACTACTATTTTAGTTACATATACAACTTTTGTGATAAACATTCGCACCGGAAGATCTACGTTTCTCCAGCTGCTTTCATTAGCAAAAGTGTAAGAAGAAGACTACATTTGACATGTAAATGGCGTTGTTTTTGATTTGTGAGTGCTGAATGCAATTATCAAAATCAAGCATCTCATCTACTTGATAAACAAGATTCATGGCATAATATCCTCACGTGAAGGTATAATAACAAGGCAAGGTGAAGAATATCCTCAAATATACCGATGATATCAGAGTCTTATTTCCAACACTAATGTAAGATTAGTGCTTCCATTTGGTTCAGAGAATTGACACGTTCGTAAAGTAAATTGATTCCAATAGGCTGAAGGCTTCTGACAGCAGCTACATTACCTGGATCGATACTGGAGATCAGAGGGCCAGCAAGGATTAGCAATGTGGGACAATGCTGGGGGGTGAAATGATATGAACCAATTTGTTAAATTCAAGACCACTAAGAATCCTTTTGCAGTCTGAACACTAACTACTAAGCAGTCATAACTAATTCATCAGAGACATGTTGTTTCTTGGAGTACAAGGGATGGTAGGAACAAGTGAGTGCTGGAGACATGAAAATCATTCACAATGAGTAACGCAGAAGCATTCACTCTTTGTGATTTATCATATCCAATAAATTGCTTTCTCCTTCCATATTATTATACTTTTCCCTCACTCACACTTCTGTCTATAATCTCTCCCTCTGTTCAATCACACATTGATCTCTCTCCTCTTACTTTGTGTGCTGAATGCAGAGTGAGAGAAGGCAATACAACTGGAACACATTTGTGCAAGGTAGTTTGTGGTGATTGACAATTTCAATCCCGAAATACTCACTGTTGTTTGTTAATATTTATTAAATGAATTACAAACAATTCCGCCAAGTACAAATTCGTAAATTCATTTCTCTCTAAGTTGTTGACTGATTTCCTGTAATTCAGTCATTGCGAAATACTACTATTACAATTAACTATAACATTTTGGCGTCGCTAGGGAATTAAATAATCTTCGAAAGTTTCCTATGAATGGTTCACCGCGGGAAATTGCTGATTATCTTCAATACTTCGACGCATGGTGCATGTGGAAGAATGTTCGCGATGACAAAATTTCAGCTCATTTTATTACTGCTATTGGGCTAAATTCGTACAGCCTAGCAAAAGCTCTGTCACTGTCAGATAAATCAATTTCTCTGTCATATAATAAACTTCGTCAACATCTAACACAATACTTCTAAATAACAACTTTCGAAACATGGCAGAAAGCTCAGTTCAACAAACCTAATCGTGCTCCCAACCAGATCAGAGACTTTATTCTTCAGCTACAGATAAAAGCTTCAAAGTGCAGCTTTGCAGATCAGCTCCATACTCAACTACGCGATCGTCTAATTGCTATGATCGATATTCTGAAGTAAGAGAAAAAGTTGATTCAGATGCCTTTCTGCACAATTCAAACTGCTAAGGATTTATGCATTAAATATGAAGATATCAACAGTGAATTCGCAGCTCCCACTACGTCGGTGTCTCATGTCATGTTGTCCAAAGTTGATAATACAGGTTTTCATAAAAGGAAATCCAGTGTCATTCACATATGATGGAATGCAGACTGCAAGCAGAGACATCAAACCATGTTTTTCATGTGGAAAGATTCATCTACGAAGCACATTTCGTTTTCGGGTTGCTAAGTGCCATAAATGTGGTAAAATTGGCAACAAAAAGTCTGTTTGCAGAAGTTCAAACACTTGTGCTACTTATGATTCTCCCAAGTCGTCTGGTAAAATGCAGTCAAAGACTCTCAACTTTTCACAGCAATGGAACTTACATAATGAGAACCTTCACTACAAACTCAGGCAAAGCTAACTACTTTATAATTGATACTGGGAGTACTGCGTTTATAATTTCTAAGAAGGATTTACTATCCCTTCGTAAGCATGCCCAGCTAGGCCTGACTACTAGTTCCACCACAAGCATTACTGGTCATAAGCTACCTCGTGTTGGTACTACTGACAATGGTTTGAAATCAGACAGTGGTAGTTTTGTGAATGTCCTCTTTCTTGTTAGTGAATATGTTAAATCTTTACTAGAGATTAAAAGCCTTTAGATTGTTAAATGTCGAAATCGCACTATGCACTGAGTTGTTTGATGAATCTTTGTTCATAAAATTAGTTCGCCAATGTCCAAAGTGTTTGGTTGGCATGAAGATTCACCCCATCTCTCTTGAAAAAGAAGGTGATCCTGCCTTCCTATAGCGCCGAATAATTCCATATGGTTTCAGAGATGTAATTAAGAAATAGTTAGACAAGTTGTTTGAGCAGAGCATACTTGTGCCAGTTGAATCTTCGAATTGGGTTACTCCCATTGTCACGCCACTGAAGGCAGTTGGGAAAACACCGAGAATTTGTGGTGACTACCGCCTTACACTCTGTGGTTGTATACTACATCAAAGTTGTTCTCCGCTAGAAATTGAAGACATTCTCTACAAGCTGCATCGCTCAAAATGCATTCCAAAAATAGATCTCAAAGTGCTTATTTACAGATTCCTCTTCACGAAGTTTCTAGTACACTAACAACCGCAATACTCCAAAGTATAAGTTCCTGACTTTTTGATTCATGGTTTCACCTGCAATATTTCAAAATGTAATAAATCAGATGATAGATGGATTAGATGTTGTTGAGTCTTATCAAGACGACATTATGCTTCATGGTCCGAATATCGAATTTCAGGATTAATGTCTTTTAAAACTATTCAGGCGTTTCTGTGAGAAAAATGTTCTTGTTAACCCATCTAAATGTCATTTTAATTTGTCGTCTGTATCATGCTTGGGATACACAGTAGACTTCGAGGGTTTCAGACCTAATGCTAATTATTTTTTTTATTTTTTATTTTGGTTACAGCCTAATGCCACACCGTATTTTCAGTACAAGTATGACATTTTCAGCATGGATATCGGTAGCCCAAATTTTACAGGCCAACCATAGATATCAGGTGTGCGTCGGCAGGGGATCAAACCTCGGACCATGTGCATGGTCAGCGAGAGTCCTAACCACTGTGCCACTGTGGCACCCCTAATTCAAGCACCACCTAATATTATGTCGTGGAGATCATGGATTGGTACTCTTCATATTTACTCCAGATTTTTTCTCAATTTCACTCAGCCGTTATCTTCGCTTTTTGATATTGTCTCCAGTAAACAATTTGAGTGGAAACAACAACATCAGGATATCCTGAGGAAAACTTTGAAGTTTCTTGATAGATAAGCCCGTTCTCACTACAGATGCTTCTCCAATGCGTATAGCTGCAGTACTTGAGCGAAATGGATAATCTGTTATTTGTATTTCAAGACGTCTAATTAGGAAGGAACAAAGGTACTCACAAAGTCAGAAAGAGGCTCTAGCAGTTGTATGGGCAAGAATACGCTTGCACAAGTATCTCTCCCACATAGTTACTGATCATCAGGCTTTGAAATTCATTTACAATCCAGAAAAATCTTTGAACAGATCATCTTCATGTATGACTCAAAGATGGAATTTAGAACTAAGTGCATATGATTACACTATTGAACACAGATTGGTTAGGGATATACCTCATGCAAACTTCTCATCTAGCTTTTCATTATTTGAAAATTCTGCTAATGAAACTGATTGTTCGTTAGTTCATCCTTTAACTGTGGATAGATTTCGACTTTTAAACGATACTTGGAAATATTACGGATGCATTATAAATGCAACGAAAAGAGGTTATAATATTCAGTGTAATCCAAGGTTCCTTGACTTTAATAGGCAAAGAGATGAGATTTCAGTCCATCATGAATTATTTCTACGTCTGAATGACAGAATGTTTATTCCTCCGACATTAAGATCTGAGATTATTGATGATTTTCATTCTGCTCATCTGTGAGCTGACAAGATGAAATCATTAGTACGCCTAACGTGCTGGTGCCCGGAAGTTGATGCTGACATTACCAAAAGAGCAAAGAGCTGTTCCAGTTGTTTTCATAAAATATCCTATGGGAAGTCATCGTGGAAACCATGGCCTGCGTCTTGTGAGGTTTGCCAGCGTATTCATGCAGATTACTGTGGTGCATTCTTAAATTCGTACTATGCCTTAATTATTGTGGATTCTTATTATAGATGGCCAAAAGTCATAATTACAGGTAGTCCTCACGCAAAATTCACTCGCAGAGCTTTGGCGAAGATTTTTAGTCGAGAAGGAATTCCAGATGTCTTAGTTACTGATAATGGTACTCATTTCACTGAGAAGAGCTTCAATGATCGGCTTTAACATATAGGTTGTCGTAATCTGTACACAGCATCACGTCATTCTCAGTCGAATGGGTTGGCAGAAAATTTTCTACGAATATTAAAGAGTGCCATAGCATCAATGAGATATAAGAATTTTGATGAGCTAGAGAGATGTGTAGACATCTTCCTATTTCAATATTGCAATGCGTGGCATACAAGTACCCATGAAAGTCCTGCTAAACTATTCAAATCTCGAATTCTCAGAACG